AGTCATGACTACCAGCGGCATAATAAGTAAAAACGTTCGGGGGGGGGGTGCAGAAAAAATTGCATCACCATCGCTCTTTAATACATGTTACATATGCAGGCACCGCGGAACGTTTTTCAAAGTGGGGAGGATGGGAGCTAAAGTATTTACGATAATATAGCGTAAACTGTTGTGGGGTCAAGGGGTTTACAGGCCATACAAGAAATGTACGTCTTTATATCAATAATGCTTCTTCTTCTTTCTATCGAGTCACTACACAAGTCCCGTTCAGTGCTTCCCACAGGCTCTGACACGGCAGTTCACGGCTTCCATGCAGGTCATCTCCGGTGCAAGGATCTGGCAGGAGTAGGCAGTTCCTGGCCGAATTCACATACTGTTCGTTCGTCTCATAAACCCCACCTCTGCATCGTCCGTAACCAGTCCTTAAGCGATTAAGGATGCGAAGGATTCCTTCGGGCTGATTGAGAGTTTATGTGGAGTGGTCTTGAGGTGCATGGCTAGACCACAAAGTCATCGTTTTGGTTGTGAGGGCTGTATTTTAGCGGCTTGCCCACTGGCTGTTGTTGGAAGAGTGGGTGGAGTGGATTGTTTCCTTCGTCGTCCTTTTCTTTCTTGGACAAGACCAACCTTTTGATGTGTGGTGGGGAAATACCGCAAAGTAGGTAGAGGTCTTCTACTTCAGGTTGCCTAAGGCAACCAGTGATTGCTCTGCAGGATGAATTTAGATCTTGGTCAATCGTGGGTGCATGGGCCGACCTACTCCATACTGGTGATGCATACTCCGCAGCAGAGAAGCAGAGCGCAAGGGCTGTCGTTCCGATTGTTCTGGCATCAGTCCCCCAGTTGGTGCTGGCCACATAGTATGGGATGAGACCGGCCAGGACATCACTGAGGGATTCCTCCAACTTCATTAAAGACTGGTTGTGGGTGGCGATGCAGAGATTATCAGCGTAGAGGAAGCTCCTGGTGTTTGGATTGATCGATTGGTCGTGTGTGTACATATTAAAGAGCAGGGGTGCAAGCACACTTCCATGTTGTAGGCCATTTTTCTGTCTGCGCCTTCTGCTTATGCAATTATCACGATTGTCTGCCTGCAAGGCGTCATACGGTAAAATATTTCTATCAGGCCAGCATCTATTGCTCACCCTCCACTAGGCTTGATGCGAGCATTCATGACCCTTTGATCTTGGTGACTGGGATTGTATTTTAGTTTGTTTAATGCAGCGTTCCTCAATGCTCCATCTTAGGCCCACTATTATTTCTTCTTTATGTCAATGATTTTATCAACAGGTTATCAATACATTCTTCCTTCTTTATTTTGCCGACGACACAAACAATTTGTTATTCTAACAAAGACATTCAGTATTTAAACATTACTATAAATCATCCAAAGTATCCAACTGGTTTAAGTCCAATAAAATTTCTTTTAATGGTAATGCAAAGTTTTATAAAAATTGGATGGATAATAATTCTTTACGATTTTGATATATTTGGATGCCCCTGTGGATGTATTATAAGGACTAAAAAAATTAGCCCCTAACACACTTCTGCTTTCGAGAAATTGAATAATCAAAAATTTACCGGTGCTCCCGGTAAATTTCCAATATTTCAAATAGCGCCTAAGGCCATTCCATTGTAGCTGCGACCATGAAAATCTCAGAATATGCAGTTGTGATAAATAATTTACAAACGGGAATAGCAAATCGGTTGATTGTAGTTAAGAAACTGTGTGTTAGAGCTAAATAAATATCAGTCTTGAGAGGGCGCTATACAACATAAGAGTTTATTATTTACAATTTCATTCGTTTAGACTCGATTTCAACCGCGACAACGATCAATAAAATATTGTAAAAACGCACATGCTTCCAATATGTTCATCTGAACCAAATTCATGACCCCATACCAAAACTTTGTATTACCTTTATTATTAAAAAAAAAAGATTCACTTCTTGTATTTTAAACCTTTATAGAGAAAAAAACTTAGTCCAAGTTTTTGGTGAAATGATGAAATTTTAATTTTGAAGGAGCATTTACACCACGTAATAATGTCCATTTCCAAAAGAATTGGAACAATTTACAAGCTAAAGTTTCTTCTCCCCAATGCAACATTTTTTTACTATATACTTTGCTAATTCTCCCGTTTATAACATATTGTAATATTGTATGGGCGAATTGTGGTTCGACAAAAAATAATTCTACTTTTAAACTACAAAAGAATGCCATGGGGGTTTTCTACATGATCGCATCTCTTAGCTCACACTGATCCTTTATTCTTAGACGTTTTCGATTTGAATACTATTCAAGGAGCAGTCATAAATAATCAACTTTCACCATCCTTTGAAAAAACATTAAGGTTTAATAGTTTTGTTCATTCGTACCCTACTCGCATATCTGAAAACATCCATCTTACAAATCCCAATTATCAATAACACAAAAATCTGCTAGACATTCTGGTCCGGACATTTGGAATAATTTTCCCAACAACATAAAGCCTTGTTCAACCATCTACTCCTTAAAAGCTACACTTAAGCGACGATCATACGCTCCCCACTATTTGTATTAGTGTAATGTTTAAAACTCTGACGTATTGTCATATATTTTATCATCCAACTACTTTCTAAACCCACGCCTGCACTTGCACTGCACCTACTTGATCACTCAGTTTTCACAAGAGATTTATGTCGCGAAATCTCTTTTTGTTTACAGGCTGCCATCCATCTCCAGCCTACCCGCTCACGATGACGGTCTCCCGCATTCTAAATTACCTCTTATTGAAAAACATTTACGAAATATTTTTTATCTTATTTGTATAATATTATTGTACATGATTTTCTACTTTATTACTTTTGTAAAAAATGTATTAGTTATATTTATTGTTAGAATTTTTGGAATTTGAGTTTGAAATTGTAATAAAAAAACGTCCCGCTACCCCTGCTACATGTTTAAATCATATTGGTAATTAGATTCTTATATAGCGCATTAAACTACCAGAATTAAGTCTCTGTGCGCTTTACACAAAGCATTTACACGAAAAACATTAGAGGTCTTCGGTCTCGCGGGCCTTCGATGAACTTGGCATGAACCGGAATAGATGATACATGAATGACATTAATAAAGGATTGTGGATATAATTCTTTGTAGTTAATAATTTTAATAATGTAATAACTATGTGCTAGTGTAAATGTGCCAAAGCTACAAGCTGCATCAAATTAATAATATCATCATAGAAGCTTTTAATTTGTTGATGTCTTTGCACAGAAATTGAATGTGACATTCCATCAGTTTCCAATGGTTCTGTTTCTCGCTGTCCGAAAGCTGCACTCTATGGAGATTCATGTTATTTTAGTTGCGATGATGGATTCAAGACAAGTGAAGGATCGAAGTCTATTACCAGAGTTTGTCAGGCTAATGGCTCATTTGATGGACAAGACCTCCATTGTGATGGTAAATTGTTAATACATCGATATGGTTGATATATTTGTCTTGGAGCATGCTAATAGTATATACATCTTTTTAATGTTGTCATTCTATTTGAGAAAGTGACACAAGAAGCTGCTTGCAAAATCTAAACATGTATCTTTTTTTATATAACCTTGTAAATAGGGAAAAATATAACACATAGCGAAAACAAATGTTTCTTTAATGATGTTATGCTCACTGTATTTTCCACTGTCTTTATATGTGCCAGATGGCTACATTTGTATTTCCTATCTTGTCTCGTTTTTAGGCAGTATCCAAGGTCTCAGCCGTTGCGCTTTTTCTAGTGTTAAAAATGAAAGTGTGTATGATGTAATGTATGATGTTTAATTAATAAACAATAAACGAATGTATTCAGAAATATTTACAATTACACTGCATGAGTGTGTTATAGTGCACCTAAATGTGACTGTTTTCTCTTTATCCCTTGTATTTTAATAAGTTCAAGTTACATGTCCTTCACTGATTGCACCTGAAGATGGGTTCGTCACACCAGACGTGTGTACCAATCCGGGTGGAGTGCCTTACAACAACCTGTGCTCATTCTCATGCGATGATGGTTACATCCAAAATTTTGTCTACCAAAAGAATTGCCTCCGTACGGGATTGTGGAGTGACAATCGAAATGTAACATGCACAGGTAGAGTTCTTTTTTCACGGGGGAGGAGGGGGGGGGGCAGAAGGGCAGCTAGTAGTCCAAGGTATATCTAATACCTCTCCAAAAATATTTTCATTATATGTATATGTACTGTGAATTCAGATTAACATATACAATTAAAAACTAAATTAGTCGTACCCTTAGGCTACCAAGTTTTGCAATTTTGTTAATAATGTGAAAATATATTTATAATGAAATTTCGCAACTACTCAGCTTTATTTTGCTCCCGAAAATTTGAAAATCGCGCCGACCGAAAAGTCGCATAGTGGGGGGATAAGCAGACACTTTTTTCTTTCCTTTTTTGGTCTCAAAATTTGAAAATGTTAGATTTTTTTCCATGGGGGGGGGGGGTGAGGTCACCTTTTTTAGGTCAGCCATTGGCATAATTTTTTTTTTTTTTTTGTATATAAAAAAATTAAAAAAATAAAAAGGGGGAATTTTCACAAAAAACATACACAAAACATACACATAAAAAAGAAACTCAAGGGGGGGGGGTTAACCCCGAACCCCCCCCCCCCCCCCCGTCCTGACGCTCAACATTGTTTTACTTGGAGATCGAATTGACAGGCCAGGGGATGCGGAAGCGGCCACATCGCAGCGGCACACACAATGAAGTATCCATGCTCGGTCGCCTGCTCAAGGAATTGTCGCCCCCCTGCAAACACAATTTCAAATCCCAGCTTAATTTATTGCTATACAGAACTTTGGTAATGCTCTCTCTCTTTCTCTCTCTCTCTCTCTCTGTGGTTAGGTTAGTTGTAGTGTGTTTGTTGTCTTTGTTCGCATGTGACAATTTGTTTATTGCATACAATCTTTAATTGTATTTTCAGATAATGAAGCACCTGTTTTCTCAAGTAGATGTCCAATGTATCCCCCCACCTACAATGCTGATAGAGGATACACCTATGCTTCTATACATAACATCAGCGACCTGGAACCTGAAGCGTCTGACAACTCTGGTGAATTCACTCTGACATTGTAAGTTGCCTTTTGCATTATTTGGTTCATGTTAAGTAACTGTCTCTTAGAAACGGTGGAGTAACACTCTTTTCAGTGTAAGTGTGTAATGATGATAATGATGATGAAAGAAATATTTCATTTTGTTTGACACTTTTGTCAAAACATGAGAAACATAAGTTGTTTTTCTCCTGTGCTTTTTTATAGTTATGCGATTAACATTTAATTTGTTAATTACCGGTATACATGATGAAATCTTCAAATCCCTTTTTTGAGTGAATATCAGCGATTCTCTCTCTATAGTAGGGGAGCCAGGGTAGTTTTCGATTTCTTCGTTGTAATAGCTGTCATTATTATTTTAATAAAAAAAACAAAGTATATTAGAACCTGGTCATCATCATTCAACAACGTGCCTCGATTTTCCAACACAAAGCGTGATACATGTACATAGGCGCGTACGTATGGAGAGGTAGGGGGGTAACACCCCCTCAAATTTTGTTAATGTTAAAAAAAAAAATGTCGGCGCGATTTTCAAATTTTAAAACCACCTTTTGAAGAAATCCTGCGTACGCTACAGCATGAACATTGAAATGGGTGGGAAACCTTTGATAACAAGGCACGAATGTATATGGGAACATTTTACAAAATTAGCACACGGAGCAGCTCACCCCGTTTAGTTTACTTTAGGTGATTAAACCAGCAATACCATACAAAATTTGATCCTCAATATATTATAATAGCGAACAAAGATAGTTCCCTCTGGTTAAACTTGTTATGCAAACCATTATCATTTAGCTGATGTTTAAAGGGGAGGAAAAATCCTATATTATTTTGGTTAGTAAACCATAATGGTTAAGGATGTGTAAACTTATTCATATTATAATATTTGTCATCCTTTTTAGAAAATCAATGACACCAATTGACTACAAGTTTCCTGAGACCCCAACAAGATTGACCTACAATGCTATTGACTCTGTGGGAAATCTGGCAATTTGTGACGTTATTGTTCAAGTTAGAGGTAGGACCTACTATATAAATCAATCTACTTTCTTTGATTTGATTTTGTTTTTTCCTTGTTTTCTTCATAGTGCAATAGTGAATGCTGTACATTTAGAGTCACATAGGTTCGGGCCTATATACATCTTGGGGAAGGGGAAGTCGATTTCTTGTCTTTCTCCCCTTTTGTGGCCTATTTTCATGTTTGTCATTGTTGTTTTCATGCCAACATTTTACTTGTAATTCGAGGTGGTGATAGAGAGGGGGTGTTCATTCGATGTCACTGGCCTCTGCCACCCTGTACCTTTGTTCATATATACCCCAGACATTGCTTTAATGTCTTTAATGTCTGCATTCATTTTGTTTATTTGTAGTTTTCCGATGTCGTTGGGCCCTAGCTCCTCTCCATGGATATCGTGTCAACTGCTCCGTTGATCCTGTGTATGGGTCTCAGTGTTCCTTCTCATGTTATGAAGGATACGACCTTGTGGGATCAGAAACAAGAACATGTGAATTGAGCGGTGAAATTCCATCAGCTAGCTGGAATGGTACCAAACCAGTATGTCAAGGTTTGTCCAACAGGCTTTCAAGTCATAGAATTATTATATGGGGGGGGGGGAGATATTTGTGTAAAGTTAATGTGTACCTAAATTAAGCCTAAACATACTGTTTTCCCAAACTGTCTTTCAAAGATGGCTATCAATTAATTGCAATCTATTCCAGTCGTAAGTATAATTTGCACAAACATCCAATGGACATGTGCATTATTATTAACATGTTTTTCAATGGGATAGTGTGGAACTAATTACCTAGCTACGACGGTGTCGATCGTGAAACGCCCCAGTGTGCGTGTGTGCGCTGCGGGCGTGTAAATATGTGCGTTTGTTATGTACAGGCCTTATGAAGGTCATCCAATTCCAAATTTATGTTTACACAATATTGTACGAGTCGGAGACGAGTCCAATATTGTCATAGCGAGAGCCGTATTACCCCCTGGAGAACCATCCTCTAAGACGAGTACCCCCCCCCCGGGACAACTACCCTCGAACAACTACCCCCGGAAAAACTATCCCAAGACAACTACCCCTAATATAGTTGTCCGGGGTAGTTGTCCGGGGATAGTTGTCCGGGGGCTGTTGTCCTAGGGAGAGTTATCCGGGGGTAGTCGTCCTAGGGGTTACTTGTCCTAAAACCAGCGAGAACAATATATTCTTGTATCACACGAAACCTTAGCCATAGTATTAACAGGCTGACTAGCGAAATAACAAAACATGACTTACCTCGATAAATATTGCTTTGTTTTTCGTGTGATATATATTGATATCAATTTTTACGTCGATAGTTTAAGTTCCTAGATGACTGAGCAATACAAAAACAATATTGGTCAGTCATCCGGGTACTGCGCTAAAGATTACCCTGACTTATTGTACCACTTCAAGTTGAAGTTCAAGTTTATTCAAACCAAATCAAACATAAACAATGGTACAAGATATAACAGCAAGGAACACAAGAATGATAGGTTTGGGACCACAGTGAAGCACAGCTTGTGAACGGGGCCTCTTTACAGAGTAGACTATACAGTAGGTATATAATGACGCGTTTCGTTTGAAACGCGTCGAAATGTACAGACCTTGGTTTGAAACGCGTCGAAACACGTCATAATTATGACGCCCATAAACCCAGGTTCGTCGACAATCCTCCTTTGTGAGTTCGGGCTTTAGACTTTGATTATTTATTGCTTTGCCTCACTTTTTATAAATGCAAAACATAGAACTGGACAATTTTATAACTGAGATTCGAACCCACATTTTCAACGTTGTATTACTCTGTCTTTACCGATTGAGCTAAAATGGGTTGATGAAATAAGAATAGACATTGTGGGGGCAATTACAAAAGGAATCACTTGAAACCTGAGATGCAGCAAGATCGCCCACTAATTTGTGTTAGCTTATCCAATCCTTTTCCGAATAGAGAAATATCAAAATGGAACTAGTGTTTAAAATTGTATACAAAAGTCGTAACATTTTTTTATTTTTTTTTATTACCAATGACTGATGGTCTTTCAATTACTAATCGACTTGTGTCTATACACAAAATAAAGATTGAAAATATTAAATACATATGCTAAGAATTCTTATTCTCAAATTTAATGTAGCCAAGGCCCTCAGTTACCTGCAAGTGGCTTATGTACTGATTTGTCAAAAAATTTGCTGAGCCTCAACTTCTTGTTTGAACCTTGCACCTTGCACAAATGCACTTCTCAACACAAACTATTTCACTAAATATGTTTTGTTATTTTCACTCAAAATTAATTCAGCCATGCTCACTTTTAATCACTTAACTTATATCTTATTTAACATTGAATACAATGCAGTTGCATGGATTTTTTTTTTTTATTTCGTTAACTCGGCAGAGGCCACGGTAATCTTCAAGCATTTACGCTTACGACATGTGGTCTCCTACTTTTTCCTTTTGTATGAACCTTTTATTTTAACTAGAAACAATTTTTTTTCAATCTTACATGTTATTCATTATATTTATTTGTATGTTTCTTTGTATTAATATGAAAAAGTGGAAATAAAACAAAACAAAACAAACTTGGGGCACATATTTTCTTCGGGTGCTACCCCGTGCAACCTGCCCTCTCAGCGGCGTTGAACATTACTGTATAACATCAAGTTCATGAATATTAACTACATTTTCTAAATATAGCAAAGACCTGTCCGGCGCTGACAAGACCTGAACACGCTATGAAATCAGGATGCTTTAACAACCCACCAAACACCGAAGTCTACGGCACCCAGTGTATATTCTACTGTCTGTACGGTTTTGAAGGGGTTGGTGATAGCAGCACAATCTGTCAAGCAGATGGAACATGGACCAATAATAATTTTAGTTGCAGAGGTAAGATAGGTGTTGTATATAATAACGTCAAGTTGTAGGGGTCCAGTGACATTCGTAATGTAAGGGGTTCGAATCCAAGCCTGACAGTATTTGTTTAGGTTTTAAGGCATTAACTAACATTTGCAACTCTCCACCCAAGTTAAAGTAGTATATAGTTCCGTTTAGTTTAATTTCATAACGCCCCCTATCGTCAGCAGCCTAACATGTTAGCCTATGGAATTTTACCCCCCAAAATCGTTAAAAATTCATTTTTTTTGTTTGTTGATCAAAATAGGTTGCAAGCTCATCATTGCCTATAATACACATGTGAAACAAGTCGAACTTTGGACTCAGTTTGCCAAGCGATTTTAAGATAATAGGTTAAGCACACGAAGGATATGAAGCATGAATTATCATAGATCACTTATGCTTGGTTCATTTTGTCCATTTCATCCAACCCCATTTTAGTAAAAGCAAACATTTTGCCGAGGTAAGCAAAAACATGAATATTCATGAACGGTCAGACAATACAGCCTTTTAGTACGTAACGTATAGTGAATGGGAATGGGCGATGATCCGTCCGGGAGATAGAGGTCAGTGGTTTGTGCTGGCAATGTTCCAGCGAGCGAAAATGAGACAACCGGAGCAATATGGGTAACCTGAAAAGTCAGAGGATTACACTTACTTCTTATAGCTATATATTTAAGTAACATATATATATTCAAGATATTTACTCAAAGTTTTCATACTCTACCATATTTTTATAACAGGTAACTTTTCCAGGAACGATCGATCCCCTGCTTTGTAGGTTACTGAGACTTTTAGGCTTATCACCCCCCCCCCCCCTATGAAACTCCAAAACAGGAGCAATATTGGTTGTAACAAACAACTTTTTTCATTTTCAAGGAGGCTCCATATTGACAAATGTTGAAACTTTGTACATTTCAAAATATAACTGGGGAATATAACTGAGTTATTTCTTTATCTTTTTCTAGCTACATCATGTTCACTCCTAAAAGTTCCAGACAGGGGCTCAGTCACTCCAGAGGAATGTTCAATGGCTCCTGTCTTTGGACAGTCATGTGATGTATCATGTACTCAACAAGGATACCAGCTTGATCCTCCTAACTTCTCTGTGCTGTCATGTCAGGGAAAGGGACAGTGGGTTCCAGGAAACCTCACAATGACAACTTGCAGAGGTGAGACATTATCAGATTTCGCCAAAGAACTTGTGCGATCAAAATGATTCATTCTTCGATGGATAGGGACTCTGGGTATTAGGGCCTTTTAGATTTGCACGTCGAAATAGTGGACTGCTACGTGTGACGTCCTTTTAAGGCACTGTGACTTCCTTTTAAGGCACTACCAGTGCCTTAAAAGGACGTCATGCGTAGCAGTCCACTATGTCGAAGGGCAGTTCTAAAAGTCCCTAATATCTGTCACCTATGTTCACTCCAGTAATCTCAAAGCAGCAAGAAACTCATTCGAATAATCACTTAACTGAGAAAGTCCACCGGAGTGGATAAAAGCTTGTGCAATGAATGTCGAGCTTTGCTGAAATTACATGTTATGATGATACTTTGATAACAAATCAAAAGTACAAAGAAAAAAACCGTATGGTGTTAAAATTACTCATCATCATGATTTAAATTAAACGGCGCAAGTCCAATGACTCATCCAAAGTAACCTGGCTGTTTTGCTAAGTGTATCGCATGTCAAATGTGCAATGCCTGCACCCAATATGACAAGCCATGACAACATGACAAAATAATGCTGCACTAAAAAAAAAAAACATATATCGTATATAGTATAAACAAATGATAATATATTATAAGGCCATTACAAAAAATATACATGTTTAGCGTCCCCACCCGCTTTCTGTTTTGGGGCCGCCTCCTTTTTTTTTTTTTTATTTTAATTGTTTTAATTCTATTTTTTTAAGAAAAAAAAAGAGAACAAACTGCTAAAATAGATCTATTTCTGATTAAAAAAAATAAATAAATAAAATGCCGGCGGCCATCTTGAAAAATGGCCAGACTGTCAGGGAAAATGTACCGAGCGGCCATTTTGAGCGGCCATTTTGAAAGAAAAAAAATGGCCTCCTCCTTCCTATTTTTCAAAAAGGCAAGACGCTAAACATGTTTTGTTTTTTTTGCCTAATATAACAAAATAATGAATAACATCATCAAATAATCATGATTTAAAGATGTTATTTACCATTTTGTTCATTACATTTTTCTCACATGAAGACAACCTTTACCTGCTGACTCTTTCTCTATACAGACACACAAAGCCCATCATTTTCTACATGTCCTCAATATTTGACTTTTAACCCTCCTCGCGGGGAAACTCTGGTAAACGTCTTCTGGAATATATCTGCTGTGGACAACAGTGGTGAAGAACCAATCATAGCATGTGACAAAGAAGAAGGCCTGATGGGAGAAGGTGATATTGAGGTTAGGTGCACAGCCACAGATGCTACAGGAAATGGCAAAACATGTACATTTGACGTTGCAGTACAGAGTACGTGTATACACTCGTATATAACAGGAAATGAAGAGTAAACTTATTTCAATTTCTTCAGATATAAGAAACTGAGCTATCCTGAGAAACGTTAAATAAGATTCCCTTGGCGGATTAGGTAATGGCGCCAAATCAAAATGGTGTATGCTGCATTTGACGAAACAAGATAAGCCATCATGAAAGGGGGTCAGTGATAAGTATGTTCCTTAAAGGTAATACAAAGTTTTGGGAAGTTTTGAAAATTGGGTGGATAGTGATTCTTCACAATGTTGATATATTTGGATGCCCCTGTGGATGTATTATAAGCACTAGAAAATTTAACACCTAAAACACTTCTGCTTTCGAGAAAAACTGAATATAAAAATTTACCGGTGCTCCCGGTAAATATTTATAAATTTCAAATAGCGCCTACGGCGGAACAATGGTAGCTGCGACCGTGAAAATCTCAAAATATGTAGTTGTGCGGCACTACATTACATTGACATTAGTGCTTCAGACAATTTCAAGAGCCCATACACGTACGTATAATGATAACACCTTTCACAAATTTATAACTGTCTTATATTTACACAGTTTTGATTTAAACTTTCATTAGTTAGCTTCTTTAATTGTTTTTTTTTTCAGAGTAGTTGTAAATTCGGGTTAGATTTCCCTTTAAGTCCAGTGCCAGGAGAATTTGGGCCTTGCATGGTCACGTTCGTGTTATTCCAAAGAGCAACATCATAGTACTTTGCATCGTATGATAAGCCATATCCTCATTAAATTATACGTGACATCATGATACTCATCCCATTTTTTTGTGCAAATGTTTATGATAAAGTTCACAGATGCCGTTCCTATCGACTGCCATCTTTTGCCGAGTTTGCTGGTGTGTGTAATACAATATGGGGTACAGAGTGCAACATAACCTGCAATCCTGGCTATCACCTGACTGGTTCTAGCACGGTCACATGTGAGTTTGATGGATTTACATCAAGCTGGACTTCTCAAACGCCACCGAGATGTGAAGGTAAAGACCTTATTGAATGGTGAATAGTCCACTATATCTTATGTGGTCGACATACTTCTCAGTTACCTATCTATGACACTGTTAGTAGGGACATTATCCGGACACCTATCCCTTGAACATCCATCCTCGGATAACCACCACCAGTCAACTACCCCCTAGGACAACTACCCTCTAGGACAACTACCCACTAGGGCAGCCACCCTTTAGGACAACTACCCCCAGGACAACCCCGCCGGACAACTACCCCCAGACAACTACCCCCTGGGACAGTTGTCTAGCGGTAGTTGACCGGGGGTAGTTGTCCGGGGGAAGTTGTCCTAGGGGGTAGTTGTCCTAGGATTAGTTGTCTGGGGGTAGTTGTCTAGGGGTAGTTATCCCGGGGTAGTCATCATACAGGGTGGTTGCCCTAGGGGGTATTTGTCCTAGGGGGTAGTTGATTGGGGGTGGTTATCCGGGGGTGGGTGTCCAGGGGGTAGGTGTCCTATTACCTGAATTGTTACATAGGGCAATCGTCATGCATGCTTTGTGGCTGTTCCCAGAATTTGTTGATTCCTTTTCCTCAAAAGCTGATATATAAGAATGAAATAGTAAGGTGCTATTTTCGATTGTGTTTTATTAACGTCTCCAGTTTTCTTCCATTCTAAACATATGGCACTGGTTTTTTTTTTTAACCATGACCAAATAGCTTAATGACCCTTTGACAGCCTGAAACTTTACAAAGATGAAGAATTAGAAATCAGTTACAACTTTTTCTTGTAGCATGGACCTAGGTTAACCTCCCATAGCTTAACGAAAAAAATTCAGCTTTGCTTTATGTGCATGAGGTATCCCTGAACAGCCAATTGTTTACGGAATTTTGTAACAAAATTGACATACCTTTTTGGTTGGAGCCGAAAAAAATATATACCCACAAGTAATATTTTTTTAATTTCTATTGATGATTAATGAGCATGGGTGGATCTTAAAGAAAGTTAACAGTAATATGAATTAACTCCTGTATTTTGATAGAACAGTGCAATTGAAAATGGTGTTTCGGACGTTACATTTTCCGTAAACAATGTAGGCCCTGATTTAACCCACTAGAACAATCATTTAATGAGATTGTTTATGGTTTGAATAAGCTTATTAGATACTACAAGTCATTAAATTAAAAGAAAATATAATTTAATTGTAGTAGCGCTTATATTATAAATATATTCAAAATATGAAAAAGTTGTCTCATTTTCCGTAAACAATTTTGTAACGTCCGAAACAACTTTCAATTTGAAGTAGCAGAAAATATATGAACTGCAGGACCTATTTTTCGTAACATTTTTTAAACATTTCATGGCGGCTACCCATCAAAAAAAAAGAAATTTGCAATACATCATTACAATACTATTTTATAGTTAAAACCAATTTTCCGTTAACAGTTTTAACGTCCGAAACAAAAAATACCAAATAAATGATAATAATCCATATTTGAGGGTAGCTGGAGTGAATAAATCATTATGAAATAAGTTATTATAAGTCTTAACACAAGTCAAAACACAAATCGGGTCTTTCAAATCCAATAATTTTGTGTAAACTCAAGAAGGGTGTTTCGGACGTTACACTATTTGATTGTTAACACATAGTTTGCAAATTTCAACTAATTTTCTATCATATGTGCAAGTTACGATTTCACAATGCACACTCCTGTTAAAAACACTATTTTGATAATTTCATTTAGATCTAAATATAAAAATATGAAGAAATATGATGCAAAAAAAAAATCAAATTTTCCGTAAAATATCTAAATTTTCTGCAAAATTGACTTATAAAACATAAATATTGAAGCCACACTTTGTGGTGCAAGGCATTCCTGGCTGATTTAGTATATCCTTAATTGTAATTTATCAGAAACAATCTCAATAAAAGTGACTCATAAAAATCATTCAGCCATTTTAACAGCACTTTCTGTTATGCTGTAGCACGTTTCGGATATTACATTAAACTGTTAACAGACATTTTCATACTTTAACTAGTTCAAATGAGGGGCAAAGTTAGATATGAGAATAGCCAACTTCAATTTTTCAACCTCTCCTCTTGCTATTTACATTGCTATGTGTTTGCAAATCATCACGTTTTCATTTTTACAGAGGTTGTTCCAAATTATGTCATATAACCAAAGATTGTATGGTCAATCTAAACTATATGGTAGGTTACAAAAGCTCAAAATCACCCACTTAAGCAATACCCAGTGTACATGTACATGACACGGGTATGATACAGGTATATAAAGTTGATAAAATCAAGCAAATTAAAATGTTTTTCTAAAAATTTATGGGAAATATGGATTTTCATCTAAAAATACCTTTTAAAAAGGGCACTCAGTACACGTAAATAATCTGTGTAGAAAGTACATACATGTATAAAAGAAAAGGGCATTACCAGTAATACCTTATTTAATGATCCTAAACAGGCGCGCCGGAAGCAGTTTGGGATTGGGGGGGCAAACATTCCAGGGGGCTCACCTTCCAGGGGCAGTGACGTAATGAGCAAAAACGTTTGGAAGGGGGGGGGGCAGAAGAAAAATCTGCATAAACCACCACTCTTACACGTTATATGCAGGCCCCGTGGAACGTTTTTCAAAGTGGAGTATTAACGATCAGGTAGAGCGTAAATTGGTGTTGGGTCCATGGCATGAGCCTCGGAAGGGGGTCACGGGGCTGAGCCCCGGAAGCTCAGGGTTTTTAGGCAATAAGTTACGGTCAGATAAGCATATTAAGATACCTTATTTGTGACACTGGCAGGTCCCTTATTGGCGGAGAGTCCAGGGAGCAAAGCCCCCGGAAGCTCAGGGTGTTTAGGCATTAAATTACGGTCAGATGAGCATCCAGGAGCCCTCTTTAAGGCCATTAAGACGTTAAAAGATGGGAGTTGTTGCTACCTTGTTTGGCGTTCAACAATAAGGGATAGAGTAACGTCGATCTGGCGCTGCTCAGTGGCTGCCGGGCTCACGATCAATTGGGCAAAAAGAATTTCCGTTTCGGTTTAATAAAATTTGGAGTGGACTATTATTATTATTTAAGAGGGAGAGCCCCCGGAAGTTCAGAGGTTTTAATATTTAACTATAAACAGATGAGCATCCAGGGCCTGCCTTAGGGCCCTTGGTGGGGTCCAGGGGGCAGAGCCCCGGAAGCTCAGGGGTTTTAGATATTAAATTACGGTTAGATGAGCATCCAGGAGCCCTCTTTAAGGCCATTAAGAGGGAGAGCCCCCGGAAGTTCAGAGGTTTTAATATTTAACTATGAACAGATGAGCATCCAGGGCCTGCCTTAAGGCCCTTGGTGGGGTCCAGGGGGCAGAGCCCTCGGAAGCTCTGGGGTTTAAGGCATTTAATTCCGGTCAGATGAGCATATTTTGATACCACATTTGTGACATTGGCAGGTCACTTATTTTTTCTCTCTCTATTTCTTTCTTTTTCTCTGTAATATACTTTTTCAAAAAGTGAGAGGGGGGCTCGAGCCCCCGAGCCCAACCGTTTGCAGACCACAACATAAAGGCTTCTAAATAAGCATATTTTTTCGCCCGACTGTAAATTTGGGAATTTCTCATTTTCCAGCAAACGCATAAAAAGGAATGACCCCCCCCCCCCCCCCCCCCCCATCAGCAGGGCCGTAGCCAGAGTTTGATGGTTTTTTTTTTTTTTTTTTTTTTTTTTTGGGGGGGGGGCACATACATGTAATTGATCGACGTCCTGGGGAGGGGTCTTACAAAGTTCAACCGATCTTGGAAGCGTTCAGGGGCTCATGTCTTCTCACCCCTATAACAACACAAAAATAGACACGCTTACCCATTCTCTCACGGTATGTCCACGATATGCGCGTATCGCTATTATGAAAACCTCCTTTGATAAATATAGGTGGCATGCGCAATGTTTAGGAAATTTAATTCCTGTTAACAGTACTTTCCTTTCTTTGAATATAATTTTATATGTGATTTAATTCAGGTTTTTATTATTGTTATGTTCTTTGGGGTTAAAAATACAATCTATCTTTACTCCTTTACTGCTTTTTTTTTTTTTTTGGAGGGGGGGGGCGTTTTGGGGGGGCAAAAATGCGTTTTGCCCCCCCCACCTTTTTGACTGGGGGGGCAACTGCCCCCCCTGCCCCCCCACTTCCGGCGCCTATGATCCTAAACATATACATGTAGTATCTTCCTCAAATGTATGCATACATACAAAATGTATAAGCTAGTGTAGGGATTTATTTTGAACTTCTGAAACTTCCCTTCATTTACATGATTCATCCCTTTCATATTAATAGGTCATCCCTCATTCACATTCACCCTTTTCATCCACCATCCTTTCATCTGTCTATCTCTCTCTCTCATTGGTTTCAATGTTCACCTGATGCAGTCAAGCTTATGTAGTATAATTTACATATACTATGAATATTCAATATGTACCCTTTGTTTATATTTGAATATTCAAGAATACTTTGTGATGTTGATTTATACTTGTATGAGACTATATGAATATTTATTGATTTATTCTACTTTGCATGGAATGTATTTGGAATGCTACTTAGAATGCTGTAATGCTTTTACACATTAAAACCTGATCAGTTAGCTAGTAGTTATCAATTCTACAACATGTCTGCTGGGCTGCCTCTATGTTAAGAGTGCTAGGAATTATCTGTTAGAACCGCAACCCTACACTAGTGTGAAATATAAATGGGCTGTCCGTTTTTGTTTGTTTTTTTCCTCTACGAAATGTCAAAGTTGGGGGTGCGGCGCTGCGGCCTTATCGCCGGCAAATACGGTACATGTTTAACCTACACCTGTTATATAGGCACAGCAAGAGTTAAGATCTATTAACCAACCAACCGACCAACCAATCAATCTATCCATTCATCAATCGGTCATCAATTAAATAAATAAATAAATAAATACTTATTTAAGAGCATTGAAACATTTTGTCGTTTGAAACAGCCTCCTAATACAAATTGTAGTAAAGGATGATTGTTACTACAGTAGTATTATAACCTAAAACATACAC